GAAGCACATCTCCCTGCGTGATTGGACTCCAACAAGAAGTTTGTTCAACTCCTCAACGTTGCGGATGGCCAACTGTAAATGTCTCGGAATGATACGAGTCTTCTTGTCGTCACGTGCGGCATTACCAGCTAACTCCAAAACTTCAGCAGCCAGGTATTCGAGAACCGCAGGCAGATAAATTGAAGCACCAACAACAACTCGCTCAGCGCAATTGCCCTTACGTAGAAGGCGATGTACACGACCAACGGGTAACTGAAGATCGGCGCGCGCTGACTTTGTCTTAGCCTTGCCACCTTTACCGCGTCCGCTCATTATCTTAACAAGCAGAGAAACGTGTACTCCAAATGCCCTGGTACGGCCGACAGTGGGGAGAGTCAGCTCCCCCTCTCCAAATGCTCTCACATGGCCACGCGTATATAACCTCTGTCAAGGAAGTCCTACTCACTACCTTTCCGCACCAGGGTGTTGTTTACGAAATTGAGAGGACAAACAGCGAATGTCCGCAGCTTTAACCTGGTTGGTGGACACGGAGGGTCCACCTAGGAAAGTTGGAAAACCCTCATTCCAAACCAATGGTGCACATGGACTCCAGGATCCTTAGGGAAAAAATGGTGTACGAACCTATTGTTGGTCACCGGCTACCATGGGACTGTATCTCCTTACGATGCTCCACTGCTTTGTGGATCAGACCTTTAGATCAAATGCTCGGGGTATGGCCCCCTAAGGAAATCACCTGTTTCGGATTGGACACCCGGAAAGTATCACAGCCCTAACGCAAATTAAATGAGATTTATGTGGCGCATACGTATCTGGTGCACCTTTGTACTAATATTTATGTGTTTACATAATAAATAATTGTGCATGAAATTTAGTGTTGATTTTCACATTGAGATTTTAACCAAATATCAATTAGCCGCTAACTTGTTCAAACCGATTATCTATTCAAAATACAAATATTTCAATCAAAGAGAACAAGAACGAAGATTGGTGCTCCCTTCAAGATAATAAAAAGAACTATGTATATGATAATTCAATTAGTAATCAAAATCAGTATGATGTGAACAAAAAAAAATCTCTGGAAGGTAAGCAATTTGTACTTTACAAATCATAACCATAAAACATAATGAATTCACAAGTGAAGTGTATTGAAAATTAACATAATTTATACATGCTTAATTTTTTACATTACCTGTAAAGTCTAAACAAATATACGATTTTATAGTTGAAATCATAAGTCAGTCAATCAGTCAGTCAGTTACAACGTAGAACTTCGTACGTACGTACATCAGTTCGAGTTGCCATACCACATTAGCACAGAGATGCAGTTGTCGATTCAAATCCCATAGTGGTAGAAGTAGTAGGAGTATAATCAGAAATCCAAAAGATTAGGGTTTGAAGAAATTATTGAAGGAGTATAGTACAGTGAAATAAATTTGGAAAGAGAAAAAGATAGAGACATGAAGAATTCAGAAGATTAGAATTTGGTAGAACACAAAGAGTGGATGCACCTTCGCCATTGCAAACGATTTTGAGCCATGTCATTCAAGGTCTCTAACCATCGGTTGCTGTTATCTCGCAAATCCCAACCAGGTAGTCTACACCTACCAACATGGCCCAGTCCACTTGTCAGCGACTTCATCGATTTGTGCCATGTTTTGGTCTGGCCACCCCTAGCTTTCTTCCAATCTACTTCTACACCATAAAACATTGCACGACGGGGTAGTTGGTGTTTGGACATACGTAACACGTGTCCCAGCCATCTCAACTAATGACGTTTCACTACTTCATCAATCGATTTGCCATCCCTACCTAGTACTCGTTTTCTAACAACGGCATTACTTACCAGGTGGTCCCAGGATATACGAGCAATGCTTCGAAGACACCTATGATCGAACACTAGTAGCCTACGAATATCCTCTACTCTTATCGGCCATGTTTCACTGCCATAAATTAGTAGGACGGAACGGACTGCTGCACAGTAAACCCGTCCTTTTGTTGCTAGACGGATAACTCGCCTACGCCATAAATGACGCAAGTTGGCGAAAGCTAGACGAGCCTTCTGTATCCGTGCTGAGATTTCGTCACACACCAGACCACAAGGACTGATGAGAATCCCAAGATAAGTGAAGCTTTCAACACGCTCAACCACTTAACTCCCTATAATTAGTTCAGGTGTCGCTGCAACCTAATCCTGAAGTAACATTTTGCACTTCGAGGGAGAGAATCGCATCCCGAACATGTCTGCATTGTTGCTTATAGTCGTCAGAAGACTCTGCATTTTGTCAGCGTCTTCACCGAATAAACTATGTCGTCGGCGTATTCTAAGTCAACAAGTGAATCTCCCGGTAAAAGTTCAACTCCTGGAGGTTTAGCTGATGAAAGTGCTATCTCTAAAAGTATGTCAATGACAAAGTTAAACAAGAATGAGGAGAGTAAACAGCCCTGACGAACGCCACTTGTGGTAATCAGTTCTGATGACAGTTTGCCATAGGCTCTAACTCGACCAGTTTTGTTCGAGTAGAGAGCCTTTATGAGGTTAATGTACTTCTTTGGTACTCCTTTCAGTGACAAACACTGCCATAGAACCTCACGATCAACAGGGTCAAATGCCGCCTTATGGTCAAGAAATACTACTATTGTGGGACGTCTGAATTTGTGTCTATGTTCTAGGACCTGACGTAGGGTGAATATCTGGTCTATGCAACCACGTCCAGGTCGAAAACCAGCCTGGTTTTCTCTAGTCATCATGAGTCAATTGAAGCTAGACCACCATGGAAAACTTGGAAGCACTAGACAGCCGTTTAGTCCTATTGTGTGACTCCTCAGTAGTGCAGGATCGTGGATGCGCACTGCTGAGGAGTCATGCAACATTTTAAATCAATGATAATTCGAAAAATCAGTTCCAACTTTTACGATATCCGTTCTGTCATAACAGTCTGATATGGACTACGTTGGGAAGATAAATACACTGGATTAATCCATCAAGTTATAGTGTTCGTCTGAATCGTCCAAGGACGAATCGTGATAGTAATTATGCAACAAAACAGTAATAATAATTCGATAAACCATTAACAATCTCTGCGGTATCTATTCCGTTGTAACACTCCACAATATTTGTTTTTACTTAAAATAACACATTTATTGTTCATCCTAGTGTAGTTTTCATTTCTAATTTATAGCTGCTATTATAAATTGTCTAAGAACACTCTATTATTATTAAAAAATATCACTCGGTCCTTTAACAAGGTAACCATCCAGGTATTCGTGGTACATGAAAGTTCCCAGTAACGTCTAGACTTTTATTCTTGTCACCAGTATTCTGACTACTTTACTGTTGTTTTTTGTACTTGTCAGCAAACCTAATTTTGACAGTAAATCGGTCATCAAAAAGCATTAAAGATCAAACGTTTTATGCCTTTTCAATATAAGAAATCAACAGATATCATGTATTTACGTAATCATCTATCCAGTGTTCATTGAAAATTTAGATTAAATTGAAACTAGCTATCTCCGAAAATGCACTTCAACGTTTCTGAAGAAATATCCCACAGTTTCGCCAAAAGGCTTAATAGTTCGGTTCGAGTATTTATTGGACAACCCATAAATTAATCAGTCAAATACAATGTAGGACTCGGGATGTGTGAGCATCAGTTCAATTTGTCACATCCCCCTAGCTCTGCGAGATGAAAATCCTAACGCAAATCTCACAGTCGTATGAACAGCAGCAGTACTACTGATAGTAGAAAAATTAGGTATCGCAAATACGATTTAAGAAGATACGCATTAGTAAAATAAAAAGATTACAAGAAATTTAGAAATATAGGATTGAAACGAAGACGGAGAGTGGATGGACCTGAGTCATTGAGGACGATTCTGAGTCGATTTAATCTAGTCTCTAACCATTTGTTACGATAACCAGGTGGATCCGAACCAGGTAGTCTGCACCTACCTACATACATGGTTTAATCCAATATTCAGTGTCTTCATGGACTGATGCATCTCTTGGGTTGGCTGCCCCTAGGTTTTTTTACAACGTATTCTTATTCTGGTCATCGTCTCCCGTCGATGTTACCGGCTGGTGGGCATACGTAGTATATGTCCTGACTGTCTCAGCCAATAAAAATTCACATTCTCGTCAGTCAGTTGACCATCTTTACTTCTTATTCTATGTTCAGCCGTAGAATCGCTAACTCGATGGTCTTAAAATATGTGAGCGATGCTCTGCAGACACCTATGACCGATTCATAGTGAGCTACAAATATTCCATATTTTTAGGGGCCAGACTTCACAGCCATAAAAAACTGAGAGAACTTCTGTATAGTGCATTCGTCCTTTAGTTGATAGACGAATAGCATGAGTACACCACAAGTGGTGTATTATGGTAAAAGCCAACAGGACTTTTTGAATTTATGTTGAGATTTCATCAAACACCAACTCATCGGGGGGCTGTTAAGACTTTCAAGATGGGTAAATTGGTCGGTATGTTTAACTATTGCACTCCTCATCATTAGTTCAGCCATTGATGCAAACTAGTACTAAAGTATATCGCTGTAATGAATTATGTATTATGGTAATCATCAGTTCCACAAATTTGTACAACGGCAATACTAAACTATACTCGATTACATTTCAATCCATAACATAATAATCATACATGTAATAGCTAAAACTGTAAAAAAGAAATACTACACAAATCAACAGACATATAAATATATATACAGATACAGTAAAATCATTCATTTATACACGTATAATTTAAATGTAACAGAAATGGTTTATTGAAAAGAACAAATCAACAACATAAAATACCATCTGTCATAGATACTTGTTCTCTTAAGAAAAATATATAAACAATTTTTTTGACAAATAACTGTACATTAGTCAATGTTTCATTGGAATAATAAAATCTTATCAAGTATAGATGAATAAGCGAATGAATGAATTTGAGATGGTAGAGAAAATTTGTAGCTCAGTTGGGGTGATTTTGATGTAGGTTTGTTCTCTGAGCTGGATGGTTTGGTCGTAGAGCTTTCATCGTTCTTCTGAACGACATCATCAGCACAAACTTCGGGTAGAAGTGAAGTGAAATAAACAATGACAAATTTAAGGTCAATAACAACCAATCAACATCAAGGTGCACAGGACAAGCTATGAATCACATGTGAAGAAATTCAAACACTTCATTTCTACCCGAAGTTTGTGCTGATGATGTCGTTCAGAAGAACGATGAAAGCTTCACGACCAAACCGTCCAGCTCAGAGAACAAACCTACATCAGAATGAATGAATGGATCAGATATACGAAAATATCACATTGATAAATATTTGGTTCAATGTTCAAATAGTTCTTAATTTAAAATAAACCAATAAAATACAAGAAGAATAACGAAAGGATGATAAAATGTATTAGTGGGGGGTAGGGGGGTTGATCCTGTTTTATTATTTTACAATAAATAAAAAACAACCTATCACAAATGATGAAATGTACTTGAAAAGAAGATTAATTAAGATTTTCGTTGGCGTTTTTTGATTTCTTTTTGTGTACAATCTTATTGTTGTTTGATTAAACTTAATATGTAGAATAAGTGGATAGATTTAATCAGCTTAAAATTATCAATTCACTAACATAGACAAGTAACAGCAGTGATAGAGGAGCATCGTATAGCAGTGTAGTCTTGTTGATTAATAGACAAACCTCAGTTAATTCCCATGAAATTTCTATTTTCAGTTGATGATATCATTTTAGTTTTTTTCCATTTCAATTGTGTACACCAGCTGATGATGATGATTGTCGACTTATAGGATCTAATGTAGTTGTACTGTTATCCATTAAATATGCTACATCATCATTAGAATCATACCATATATTGGTATTTTGTTGACATAAACTTGCAAGAAAATCTCTAGTGATAACTAGTGTTAATAGAATACAATGAATCATAATACCAATAAAGATAGCTCCTAACAAAATGATAAATATACGTGATGTATTTGAAAAATCTTGATAACCATTTGGTAACAATGCATGTCCACCAATAAGTACAGTTGGATTTGAAGGAAACGGTATAGTTTTATCCAGATGACCAATTGTATATGCTAAATATAGGCTTAATGTTACAACGGCCAAATAGATTAGATGTACAATAACAGGATAGAATGCATGACATATATATAATGGAATACTGTTTAAAAATAAATCCATTAATATTAAACAACCAGGTATACTATGTTTCAATGTTTGTTCAAGGGCTATAATGAAAAAAGAAACGAAATAACAACAAAACATATAACTAAATCAACAGAAAAGGGGGTTTATCACCCAAGATGGAGGCGGGTAAACATTTTGTTTAGATAAATAATAGTTGATTGGGAAAAAAAGAATAGTAACTTACCAATGGTTAGTAACAACTCGTTGGTTAGTATAGCAAAAAGTCTATACTCTATGATATGTAAGTTCAGTTCAATACATTTAGGTAGAGTTGGAAAGTTTTCACTGTCATTCTAGACAACAACAACAACAACATTATCAACACCTGCTTTGAGTAGAAATGAATTTATTTGTTGTAAACCTTGTTTGTGATTAGTTGTTTCGGTTGAATTTATAATTTCCATATGTTTTTGTATTTTTGTTGACTGTGTTTATACTTTTCGTCTTAGACCACAGTGGTGATTGGGTAAATTTTTATGTAGAAATTGATTAATTGGATCTATCAGTATAGAGGAATTGTGAATACTTTTGAATGTTATAGTTTACATCAGAGAGCGGTTATCAACCGGTTCCTAATCCCGTAGTTTGTATCTACTATCAGTTTTGAAATAAAATTAACAATCAGTTTGCACAACTGTAACGTTATTCAAAATTGATCACAGTGCCATGCAGTTGCATTTAATCTCTACCTTTTGTTTGGGGAGTCCAAAATTATTTCTCGGAAAAATCCATAGGGTCACAGAAAATGCTTGGAAACATTTTACCCAACCAGTGTTGAAAGAAAGAATCTCAGAGGTTACATATCATGTTTCTGATTGGATATTCAACTATACCGCTACAATATTTAGCATGGATCATATGTGCGTACACAGTCACAGTTGAAAACAATGTAGGAGCTGATACGAACAATCATAGATCAAGGTTGTCGCAGTATAATAACACAAAGGGTTCCAGTAGAGTCGAATTCTTTGAGTCAGGTGACATAATCGTAAAGTTTTCATCGACTTTATAGACAACGTTATTTGCGTGAACTTCAGTATGGTAGTTTTTTTTTGATTGACAGAACACTTCTACCTGAATTTTGCGCTGATAATATTGTCTAGAAGTGGGATGAAAATTACACAACTAAACTACTTAGTTCATACAATAAAACTCCATCAAAATCACTAGTCTGAGATACAAATCCTCTTCATTTTAGAGAGGAAATTTGTTGTGACGAAGCAAATACAGGGGATGTTATAATTTTCGGAACTATTTAATGAACTACTATCGTTTATACTTTTATCGTGCAACTATTAGCTTGATGGATTATAGTATTTCTATACTTCTTGTATTGTGAGCTTTGTTGAACTTACCAAACACTGCCATAGGTTTAATTATTCTTCAATCATTGTTAATTAATTATGTACCATTTGCTACGTTATCTGCTACTTATGGAATGATTTTGTATAAAGTAGGATCTCTTATTCGGAATGCGCCTCAGTCTCACATCAAAAATATAAAAATTAATGTGTTTAAGATAGATTACTGGGTGCCTGAAATCTAGTAATTAAAACTTGCTTGTAGTATTCTTTTATCCAGACTTAAGATTGACTGATAGAAGGCGTTTGTAAAGGCATACTAATAACAGTCAAGATTATCTCAACAGTGTTTAGAGTTACTCGTGTTAGCCTTATTGATCAAGTTAAATAATCAACTAGTAGACGAACTAACATACTCCGACTCGAGGAGAATAAATCAGAATTTCGATTGGTGCTTTATCTTCCCGAAATACAGATTAAAGAAGTTCAGGTTAACGACTCAGTCATAACGAAATCACACAAAATCCATAACAAAGAAGCGTAAATATTAGACTAATGTCCACCAACGCAATAGGAAAGAATACACCAAGATGCAGAAAATGTAGTTTTAATCGAAGGAAGGAAACAGAGAAAATAAGTAGCAATGAAATTATAGTTAACAAATTAAGATTTACGCAAAACATTTTGTAAAGAAAATGAACAAAACCTCCAAACATGGTAAGAAGAGATGGATAGTGGCTAGCACCGGAATCCAGGTCGACGCGCGTTTCGTCCTATTTGGGACTCATCAACTGGATGTACCTGCATCCCAGAGTTCATGTTCACTCTGGGACTCGAACCCAGTATCTTTCGCTTCAAATGCCATCGCGTTATCCACTCGGCCACTGAGTCCTGATAGCCACTTGCTTGTGCGATGGGGTGAAGTTTAATTTCACTTAGTATTGTTTGTTTGAATCTTCCCATCGATGTGTTAAGACTGCAACTGGTCAGACAAACAATAATAAGTGAAATTGAAACCTTCAAAGATATTCATAATGTAATAGTACCAACTGCACATGTTCACGAATTTCAAAGGTTATATTATACAACTATTAAAGAAAAACAAAGCGAAAATCTATACCAGTCTACCATAACTAGTAAAACACTGACGTAGTACCATAAAGTGAAGTAAATTATCTGTCGAAAACTGAATAAGTAGTTTAATTCTACAAATGATTTACAAAGTTCAATACCAACATGAATAACTTCAACTTCTGTCTCACCAAAAAAAATACAACAAGACCTAGGTAGCCAGTTAACTAGACTCAACTTAATTTCAAAGAAAAACATATACTGTAAACAAAGCTATATGTCAGTTAGATAGACTTATCAAACAATATCTATATGTAAATTCAAGTATATATTTATATATATGCATGTCTGAACAGGAAATAAGAATCAACTGTCTAGCCAATTCGTCATGTATATAGGTTTAATTGTGAAAACTACGATTATGTATACTACAAAATGAATTGTATGATGAATGCTTTCACAACAACATATGTAAACAAACAATTGTCTTCAATTAGATCGTCACCAGGCTTTACTTTAATATGCATGAATATTTATACGAAAATGTTAAACCAATCGAGGCAATTTGAGTCAATAATCATAATGGAGATTTGTGGAGATTGTAGTAATTTTAACAGTTGAATTCATGGATTGAAGGTTAACACCGTTGGATGCTGACTCAGTTGTCTAGAAGTTAACCGGTCGTGAGCAAGATCGATGATCTTGAGTTCGAGTCCCATGTGCGGATCGTGGATGAGCACTGCTGAGGAGTTCTATACTAAAACGAAACGGCTGTCCAGTGCTTTCAGGTTTTCAGTGCTGATCTAGCTTGGATCGACTAGTGAATTCAACGTGCTTTTATGATAAATTTGAAGGGAATTAGTGCTACTGTGTTGTGAGCTACTTATATCCACGTAAGTAGAATATGGCGATGGTCAGGCAGAGAATGTATTACACTAGAAGATCGATAAGGAAAAAACCGGAACGGAACACAATTGGTATGAAAATGCATGAACAATGAAATCAGAAAAGATGGACTGATATTTGTAGAAGGAATGGTCAAAATTGAGACAATTGATTGATAGTTTGCAAATTAACTGTTTACTTTATGGTTGTCAGATTTTACTGAGATAGACTGTAATTTTCGTTTTAAACTTCTGTACATTCTTAACTAACGAGTACTTATAATTTATAAGTGATTCGTTTTGATTCAGAAATGCAAATTATTATCATTCAGCATCAAAGATAGAGATGAGTTATCGGCAAATTATACCTCCCAAACGTCCGAGTAGAATGAGAACAAATAAAGTCCCATTATGTTCCACGACTGGATTTAATTAGCAATGTACCCTTTTTAATGCTAGCCAAACCACCTATGTAGAACAAGAAGGCTAAAATTGAGGAGAAATCGATTTTTTCAAAAACCTAATGATAATGTGCATATGTTAGTTAATTAATTGATTGAGATTGTGATGCTCAAATAGTGATTTTTCATATCATCTGCTCATACAATTCACGTGGTGAAGTAATTTCCACACAAAAGTGAAGGAGTAAAAGTAAACATCAAAAGCATAAAATGGGTTGTTGGTTGTGAGTGATCTACGTAGAAGAGCTGGGAAGTCGATTTGAAGCACCTAGTGCATATGGACTCAAGGATCCTGTGGAAAAAAATGATGAGGAAACATGATTTAGTTACCACAGCATGAATTAAAGTTATTTCACTTCCCTGTGGATTAGAACACTACGTCGAAGGTTCGAAGAGTGAACTTCCAAGAAAACGACCGGTTTTAGTTTTAGAGCTCTGCTATAATGATCGCCCTGACAAAAACCACAACAATTAAAACGAATAATGCAAAGATTATGAGTTGCTCACTTTACAGTATGGCCTATATTTTTCAGGCTGCACTATAGCAAACATTCGTTTTGGTGATTTCATCTCGTTATCCTGATGTTGTATGGCAAATTGAAAAAAATATGCTAGAAGCAGTTGAATCCAATCATTTGGATAACTAACTAGATGCTCATATAAAACTGTGATCCACGTAGTTTAATCACTTAAACCTTCCCTGTCGCCAAGTCAATTGACTGTTTTTACAACATTCACAGCCCACAGAAATTAGTGTATTATTTTGCCTAGAATTTATCTTTACATTAAAACTGGTATAAATAACATAGAATATAATTGCATAACGTGACTCTTTAGTTTCATTCAAATAATATACCTTGATAATCATGAAATAAAATAAGACAGATAACCGAAAACTAACAAATAACAAGATAAATTGACAAAACTAAAGTATACAGATCAATCTGAGGCACTGAAGTCGTCTTTTTATCAAATCAGAAAATAGGTTGTGAAAATGATTGGGTTTTAATAGAAAGAGTAATTGTAAACAACTTAAAATATGTGCATCATGTTTCTATAATATGAATTATTCAGGGTGATTCAAAGGTTTATGGTGTTCCATGTCAAAACAACAGTGACAAACATAGTTATTTATGTAACTGAAAGACACCATTTCATGTGATCCTCCATAAGTTCGAAGATAATCTTTGACCATACTCACGTGGCCCTAATGATTTTGTATCAACTTACCCGAAGCCTAACTAATTAAAGTTCTTCTACCCTGATAGCATAATATTGTTTCATGAATCAGCACATTACATTATTATCACATTTTCGTTAAAAT